GTCCTGACCCAGATACTTCACACGACCCTGTCTGACAGAGAGGCCGGACCGTCGAATGAGCCTGAAAACCTGCTCCGACGCTGTTATTTCTACCATTAATTCGACTGACGCTTATGAGATATATAAGACGTCGATCATGGAGATTCATGATCTAATAATTGAGCATCTAAAATGTAGACTGCCGCATCAGCTATTATACGAAACTATAATTGTCGGTTCGGTTTTACGCGAGCGTAAAATAGATTTGTAAAGTCACTCAGGTCGTGTCTTGTCGGAGCAAAAGTAACGTGATTGTTTAGGAACCTATGTTCGAAACTAGACCAGAGCAGGTGAACTTCATCACGTGCTGAACACCAGCCATTAGTAGTAATACTTAGTTGCAGCGCCGGGTGTAAAGTTCGAAATGTTTACTTAATTTTTGTTTTGGGATAGATCACCGTTTGCGAACGCGAACGTGAACGTAAAGTGCTTGCGGGAAATTTGCGAGATGCTTATTGTTTTGTTACCTGTCACTCTTTAAAGTACAATGGATGCGTAGATTAGCCATTCTAAAGCTTCTCACTTCACGGTAATGTATCGCGGTGGTATCAAAATGCTTTCCATTAGTATGGTGGCGTAAGTATTTCGAAGGCGTGAAATCCTAAACATGAACGTGCGCCCTTCTCTCGGTTTCTGCCATGTTGATTGATCGTTTACAACAGCTAGGGATGGAAATGCGAACGGATGAAGACTCATATAAGTTAAAGTTCCCGTCCTGCTTTGTACTACCGTTCACTTCCTCGTACGCTTCTCTTTATGAGGAAACGGCTCCACGAATTTTCCTATTTAGTTCATGTTTGGTGAATGTGAACTTCTAATTATTAGCAACGGGGTCCTGTTTGATCGCCTTATGACGGCATGACAGAAGCCCATGGGATAAAACATTCTCCCTATCTATGTCCTGCTGACAAACTCGACTGGGCGAGCCACGTAAGCGTTTGCTGACCGCTGTTGGCTATTTTTGTTTGTACTGCGGTGGCGGGGTTGACTCATCTTTCTGTTTCACTCAAGCAAGTCATAAGAGCTCGCCGTTGGATGGCGGCTTGTTGCGACCGTTCCATTCTTAACCCGTAACGTTAGCGCGATGTGATGCCGATGCCGCAGTGTTTGTGGCACCAGACGGTCTTGTGTGCAGGTACATAGTTGGGCAACGGAGATACCAGCAGCTATGACCACCTCTGCCGCCCGCTACGTGACTCGCGGCAGCACCACTATCATTGAAGAGCAATCTCGAGAGCAGAGTGGGCAAGACAAGCAGAGACCGGTGATGTTTTTGGTGTTGCTAGTTTGCAGTAGAAATGCTATTTTTCGTTAGTATAGTCGGCAGAAGTATATCTGCTTTTTTTTTTATTAAGTTCTCTTTTTGACTCTTTCGATGCTATTAGCGGCGTCAATAAAGAGTCATTTAAAGATAAGTGATCATGGCGATCTTATGCAAGTATGGATGTTATCCAACAAAGGTCATGCTTAATAACAGAAACTACCTGAGTAGGACCTACAGATAACTGTATAATAGAAGAATAGTTGAAAACTGTTCTCTTTCAGTTTATACGTTCAGTCAGGGGATATTTGCTCATAAAGAAAAACGGCTGGAACAAGTTATTTCTTTCATTATTTCGTTTTGTCGGTCTGGTCGTATATAGACCTGAAAACTAATTAACATATATTTCGTGTATATAAGCACAAGGAGCTCTTTGATGACAATAACTATCTCTAACTTTAAACAATAGCAGGCTGATTGCATAAAAAATCAGTTTCAAACGTAGTGACATATTGCACGAATCTATTACGATGATTACACACTTTACAGTTTCTTTTTAAACTTATATTACATATACGTATGTATAGGCCCTCGTCGTTTTGCACGCCTCAAGGTACAAGTGCTCAGGTTTCTGTTATGGAGATAATAACATTCTTGGCGGTTTTCTAAGCTATAAAATTCGCTTTCAAATAAATTTGCTGACACACTAAGTCTATGCACTGGCGAAACTAGCATGGTTTATAAGGACAGCGAAGCCCTGCCTTTAAAGAAACTCTTCGGTCTTTTATCAGGTCGTTAACTATTGCAGTTTGAGTTATCTTATTTTTTCAAACGACGGATGTTGTTGGCCAATTATTGTATACGCTTCAAAAGGTTTTTTTTTTTTGTTTTGTCTACTTCTTGCGTTTTGCGACGAACGAGATTTGGCACCAACTTCAATCTCCAAGGATCAATATTCCAGAAGCCTTGCGAGGTTAGCAACCGATTTAGTGATTTAAGGCATTTGTGCCGTAAACGATCAGATAGATACATACTAAAGCGACTGGTCAACTTCAGTTTGGTGAGCATCAAGACTGTGCTGCACCTGAATTAGGCAGATTCTACAAAGAATACTTTTGGAAAAGGGATGCCCCCTGATAAACCGAAAATAGGCTATGCAAGTAAAGATGCCGTACGGTCACAGTATAGCTAATTCACTGCTTATCTGTCGATAGTTTTAGATAACAAGAGACGTCCTCTTCCGTTATGATTCATTCTTTTTTCCAAGTTTTTCTACACTTTAACCGCATATTATCATGGCGAGGAATTCTCTAAGATATAATGCATGAGTGACCTTTCCTATAGCTAGCTACGTGAACAAACATTTGCGTCATATGTAATGTTTAGGAGTAATATATATGTCCAATAAATTCTAATTATCCCACAAGAGACGTTATAAGAAATCTCATATTTATCATAAAAAAAACTTAATAAATGATAAATAAAATCCTTTCTCACGGGAACGTTTAATGAAATGCCCGATGCTCTCTATAAACTAAACGCGGTTTAATTACTATACCCGTTGACGACCAATGTGTTTTAGTGTTGCCACTAAAATGAGTCTTGTCATAAATAACTGTAACTTAAAGTTATCCGTCATTGCTAGGGCCCGTCATTTCATGGCAAGCTTTTGCGCCCTGGTGTATTATTATTTTATAGTTTATTTTATACCTAGATCTTTCTGCGAAAAAAAAACACTACATTGCTAGCGTTGATTAATTACCAAGTAAGAAAAAAGCAGTAATACTTTCAAATAGTTTATTACATCAATGATATGGTACAAAGACAGCTGATTCCTGTGGTACCGTACAGGGAGCAAGCTCCCATCGATCACAGCGGAAGAGAATAGTTTTCTTTTTCATTCATATGCAGGTGTGTCTGTGTGTCTGTGTATGTGTGTGTTTGTATATGTATGTATATGTGTGTGTGTTTGTATATATATATATATATATATATATATATATATGTAGAATCATATTTATATATATACTCTCGTTTTGCCCCAGCCTTTCCTTTCCATTCAGCCGTACTTGCATTTTTTTTTCTGTATTATAAGTTGATTTTCTTTCCATATGAAAAATACAGCCACGTCATAATGATCATTGTTTGGTCTATAATTAACATCTACTGCGAAAATTTCAACTTTAGTAGAACACATCTCAATAGCTTATATAGGTATATATTTTGTTTTTGGATGTCGTCATTTCCGACAAGTTGTCATCGTTTCCCTGCGGCATCGAGGTTCATTTAGTTTAGCCACAGCCTGAAAGTTGTCTGCTGTAGTTCTGAAAGCATCAGACGTGCGATTTTAGCCTTCACGTCCGCTTTTATGAGATTATTTAGAAGCAATTATACCTAATTATATATATATATATATATATATATATATATATATATATATATATATATATATATAACACTCTCGGGTAAAGTGGAATGTTCGAAGCTGGCTGTCGTACTGGCGTTGGGCACTCAGCATGACAAATGATGAATACATGCGAACGATTTTTTGTTCCACTGAATTTTCTTGTCTGAACTATTTGATACCTACCACCAGAACGGGTTGGGCATCTGCAGTGTTTCTCTGTATTACAATTGCGCTGTACGCGGTAATCTTTCCTCTTAACAAACAATATACGCGTTCATCCATAGATGATCATCATTACAACCTGACATGGTGAAGATACAATCACGCATTGTTTTTTCATTGCCAAGCAAGACTGCCTCATCATCATGAAGGCCCTACCGTGTCGCGTCATGAAATTTTTCGAAGAACAAAAGCAGGTGGAGCAGATCATTGTAATAGCGTAAGTGAATGTAAGTTAAAAGCTTATCTTACGATACGCCCTATTCACTTAATTAACTTAACTTTATATCCATTTATATAGTTAAAATTCAGTCTGGGTCGTACTATAGATTGCAGAATAAAGTTGCATACAGCATCGATCCTTCTCTCAATTTAAGATAATACTGTAATAACTTTTGTACATTTGGTCCAGATGGTAGCACTTAACTAACTGGATAATTATAAAAGCTTACGACGCCATATTAACAATTATACATTGGCGAATCGGCTCGAACTGAGTGAATGGACGAGAAATTTTTCGTTGGCCAGCCATTATGAAACAGTTTCTTGCCAATAGCAACAAACAAATTAGAGCGCGACAATGAATAAGTTATAAAAAGATATCGGATAGTATATGCGTCCAGCTTCTTATACACGGTTACATATATTGAAATATATATTATTTATTTATATATATATATATATTGTAGGTATTTCATATATACTTTTAACAACGTTCGTATAGCCGTTTGCTGTTAATATTTGTTGGCGGAATGATGTTCGTTTGAAAAATCTTTGGGCATTTATTTTCGTGAGGCAAAAAAACTTCTTTGAAACAAACAACAGTCTAACTTGGGGGACTTAAGACTAGTGCATCAATATTGCCACACAAATGTTAAATATTCATCACGCTATTTGCTATAAAATATTCTTTTTGGATATTCATATGTGCTTTATACTGAAGTAAGGGAAAAAACAGCGAATTTTTGTAAACATCAGCCTCTATGGTTTTAGTTCGAGGTTACTGATCGAGAGAGAAACGGGACACGAGGCCTTGTAGTAGTGGCCGTTACGTGGATCGTGTTATGAATGGAGAAAAGGTAAAAATAGATGCTTCAGAACCACCATTAATTAGCTTTCAAACATAAGTAAATTCCAGTTTAACATCTTAAAGTTATGAACTATCGATATCATAACTTGTAATCGAAATGACGATATATTAGATTAGCCGAAAGTGTTCTACGTGGCCTATCTAGCAGCTTCTGGACAATTTTGGTTTTCGACCAACCTAATACTCACACTTACGCAAGGCTATATTTAAATATAGATATCTTATGTCGTACATTACACGCTGTCGACTGTTCGATGTATCTCAAAAATAGCAGTACGTATTTCACACCAGGGTCGTCACCATCATCACTATGGTGATAAATTATCATCGCAATATATATGTAAACACGTCCTTTTCTCAGACGGAGTTTCTACTTCTCCAATTATAAGCATTCATCTCTCTGTTTTTTCTGTCGCATATATATACTTCCTTGTTGTTTACCTAGAAACTATGTTACATGTCGGACTAGCACAACTCAGTTTGGGTTTGATGGGTGCGAAGTGTTCTTGATTTTCTCTCTGTCGACCCATTGAAGTCGTACACTCTTCTTTGTTACTGAACGTTATCTTCGATACACACAATTATATGCCAATCACGCTCGCATGCATACGTCCAAACGTACCTACAAACAAACGAGGCTACCTTGACACAGCCTCGAATGCTACAACCTAACAATGACATACATGGGTTTCACTTTCGTAATAATGCAGTGTCGAACACAATACAAAAGTAACACGTTCGCACCCCAAAAAGAATGATTGTCTCGGCTCCAAACATTAGCCGAACATCGTTTCGGTACAATGAGGTCGGAAAACGTTGACGTCGTTCACCGGAACGAATTTCCTCATTTCTGTTCACTTTCACAGTTCCCCTTCGACTATCCTCAATAGCGGCAACTTGCAATTGACTACAGTAATAATAACATGTCTATTATTATTCGTTCAACGTCATTTAACCCTTGGCTGTTTGATCTCTTTTGTTTTCATAGGTAAGTCGATCAATCTAACGGGCTTGCTATATTTTTGAATCGTCACAGAACGCTACGAACAAAATGGACTTCGTACAATGATTAGGAGAGAATGCACGGGTCGCTTTGCTAAGTGACGCCCAGTTTCGACGGCCATGTACAGCGTCCGTTTGAAAAATTCCAGTTTTTCCATTTGCTACCCTCATCACCATCACGAGGACGATTTCATTGGCTCGTAGGGCCAACGCAATTGAATAGATCCTGAATTTACGTTTAGAAAAACGGGTGACGAATGTGTGTTGAATAGTAGTGATGTGTTCGATTTGACGCTTCAGTTTGTCGGATCGTGGTTTCCATCATCGTCAAATAGTCTTTTTTCTGCATCGAGGTAGGTCCGTTTTGTTATCTTTCTTGCTCGTTCGAAAATCAAAAGCATGCACATACAGAGAGAATGAGGTAGAGTCGTAAAGATGTCGGAGCTGAACACAAGTACAGGCGTGTCTCACGAAGCAGCAACACACACGAAAGCGTCGAATACATACAACGACACATCTTGTCGCGCCAAGACGCTTGAACACCTCGGGTAAACAGGGCAAACGTACGAAAAAAGGAACAATAGGATAATATTTATATGGAAGAAGTACCTATGTGATTTTTTACACCCCCAAGGGAAAGCACCGGAACCATTTAAGTTTCTTCTTGCTTTCCATTCACCTGCAAGCTCACTAGAACGGCGCTGAACTTGAATAAGGTCTAGAGCTATAACTTTCATAATAACTACTCTTCTGCCTAGGCTTTTCAAACGACAGAAAAATAAGATTGAAACCGATAGCTACATAGTCGTATGCCATGTCTGATAAATTGCGACGTCCGCGACATCCGTTCGCCTCTAGCAGCCTTCGTTTGACTACTGCTTTTTAAGTGGTACTCAACGGTTGAGTTGTTAACACGGGGTTACCATCGAAGATTCGGTAATATACTGTACGGCGTCGGTTCAATGTTCTATTAGAAAGCAGCAGATGATATGCGCCTAATGTCGCGAGACCCCCATCATAATAATTAATTACTCTTCGTATGATTTTGTTGCAGGTCGAAATGCTAAGTATTACATCCCGCAGAGATGATACCGTGATACGCAGGGTATGTCGCCATTATAGGTTATAAAAATGACAATTTCACCCCACATTCATCTAGAACAGGACTAGAGATTCACGCGTAATGCCCAAATAATCCCCCTGTATCCCGCATTAATTGAATGCACATCGGTTCGTCCGTTCGTTACTAGAATATATATAGGCTGACGTCTCGTACGTAGACATTTTGTTTACACCGCTGAACTTGACAAACAAAATTGGTTGGATGGTAGTAACGTAGAAGATCTATTATGACTGCCTTCTCATTGAATATAGAATTGAATTGTTATTAACCTGTCGCCAGAACCGGCTAAACCAGCGGTCAACTTCGTAAGTATATACACTTAGACAATATGACTTGATATAAGCTATCATTCTAGTATTTATATGTCTTTAGAATACTGTCAGACGCTACTGCCCACAATGGCGTGCCCATGGGAAAAGGAATACTGGTTATGTTCACTGACATACCGTGACATGCGCGAACAACTTCCTTCACTCTCCAATACGCAGTGACGTCATTAGTCACCAGCGCTTCCGTAGTTAACGTCTTCGTTTTTGCACAACGTGAGATTCCTTTAAAAATACTGGAAATTTCATTTAGGTCCTTAAATCTATCAATAGGGTTTTTAGGTCGAATAGATACTGGACGGACAATGCGCCCCCTCAACTCTGAGTTTGGTACAAGTTATACACCAGTTTTATAACGGCGCGATAGGATACCGGTTTTTTTTGTCTGCTGTTGTGTTAAATCGGTAGAGATCCCGAGTGAGAACTGCCACCCAGAAAATGTGAGGTGCCGATCAACCTGATTGAAGCCACAGGTTAAGGCTAACACCATGGTTATGTATAATTGTTCACACACATCTTACAATTGCTCACTGACTTTCCTTACATTTTTCTTCCTTGAAGAAATAGCCAATGTTGAAGCACATCCTAGACATAATCAATTGACCACTCGTGTTTGTGATGGCCGGTACAACGTTAGCCACTTGTAGCGTCGGTCACACTGCCCGCTACAATATTAATTAACGACTTAACGGGCAAGTGGCTTAGGGTACTTCTGTATATACACCTTTGTCTCTACTTAATAGAATTGCAGCCCTTACCAAAAGATGCCCTAAAGAACTTGGTTGATGTTTCCTTAGCTTTATCTGCTTTCTACGAGCCGAATCGATCAACACAGATGCCACCGATCCTGCTGTTCAGTTTGCCTGCAACCCAGTTTTCTTGTGCGGTGTTCGCGTGATTGTCCAGCCCGGTATGACAAGGTCGCGAGAATAAGCACCAGTGGCAGTAAGAGCTTAGCAAGCAAGAGAGGATGAGATATACTAACAGATTTTGTAGTGTTCTTCTATTTCTAGAGAATGGCTTCGGATTTCATAAATTCGTGAAGGGCGAGGCTGTTGGTCGTTGCCGATGATGGATGAAGATGACCGCTTGGCAGGATCGGCAGCTGCGAGTCGAGGTCACCGTCAGGACCCGAGACAACAGGAAGCAGCGACGCCTCAATCAACGCCTTGTCGGAGCTCCTCATCATTAGCATTCCATGCACGTTGATCATGTGATCTTTGATGTAGTCTTTTCGTGTAAATCGTTTATGACAGACCTGTTAGAAAACAGAGATAGAATAGGAAGCTTTAGCATGTCAGGAAAATACAAGCAAACCAACACACACAATCCCAGGTACGATATAGGCGGTCAAATATATTTTGTAAAAAAAAGCAAACTTGATCTTATGTGCGACATGCTGTTCTAAACTATTAGATATTTATTTATTAAGTAACCAATACTTATAATTAGTAGCCTTTCATCAATTGATTTATTATGCTTCTGGCGCAAAGAGCTTTGGTTATGTAATTTGTATATTGCTTTGATGAATTCAGTTATATGTACGCGAGGCGGCGATCTAATATAGGGTGGACTTTGGCGGGATGTTTACCCACTATTTCCTTATACTAAAAAGCTAGCTTCTTTGTAGGTTAAACCACAGACCCCTCGTGACAGAAGCGGATGCGTTGTTTTCGCAGTTAGAGAGAAAACAAGCTATTATTTGATCTCTTCAAATGAAAACATTCTCTTCGGCCAACATCGATGGTCTACTTTTGTTGCTAGATTTCATGTGGTTTCTGAAAAATCCGGGAAAAAATTTCAATGAGGCAAACCGAAGGCTCCTCGATAGGGTTTCGATTAAAAGAGAGTTCGAAAAATCATCAAAATGGTTCAAAAAGTTATTTTTTATGCAAAAATTAATGATCGTTTTGAAAAAGCGAACACAGTTTTGTTTTAAACTTCTTGCGTCTTTAGAGTTTCCAGTTGTTTTGTGCACTGGCATTGTTGGAACTTTCGACCTATCATTGGTCCTAAATTGAGTTTTGCTGGAATTTGAGGGACACTTTATGAAGTTAACACCTATCAGAGTGTCATTTCACGGACATTTACTATCAAAAAATGATTTGTGGTTCAAATAAAGTGTACTTTGAAAATGTCTATTGAGTGCTTTAGTGAAACAGTAAGCGAGTGTGTATATATTGATAACATGCGGTCGCTTATATCTTGTACCTGACAGTTATAGCGTTTGCGAATTGTTTCATGTCGCTCCATGTGCCGCCTCAACGATGAGTTGTTGTAGAAGACGCGATCGCAGATCAGGCATTTGCGACCATCTGAAGATTCACGATAGGCCGGTGCCAGCAGGGCGACGATCCAGCAAGATGACAGGGATATGTATGGGGTGGTCAGGGGAAAAAAACACCGGAGCCCATCAAAAAAGCAGGAACAAGGAAATCACACGGCACAATGTTGGCACCACAGGATTAGTTTTTGACGTGATACAAGAAGCAATAAAAACGAATCTAGGAAATGTTTTTCATCGTTATGAACGCTTAGACTACAGTTGGAAGAAACGAGAAAATCAGCGTGCAATAGTCATACGCCAGTCGCCGTGCCTAATGGATATCGTGCACTAGATCCTACAATTATAAAGCCATTAGCAGTCATTCGATCCATGTCTAAGCGAGAACGAAAAACCTTATTGCTTGTTTTCACCTACGAGCGAAGAAGAGTAAAGATGCCAATAGAAAACATACTTGGTAACAAATTTCGAGCTAGAGAGATGCAGAGTAAGTTCACGAGTGCATAATAGGTCCAGTTTTCTATGTACCACAAAACGAACTCGCGGTCTCGCACGATATGGTAAATAATCAATAAAATTGTTATAAACAGGGTAGTTGATTGTTACGCATCGTAGTAGTAGTTGAAATCGGCCTACAAGTATATGTGAGGTCTGCAACCAGCACGCGACACCGATTGATTAAGGAATCAAGTTGAGAAAACGGGAATTAGGTGGATGGGAAATAAAAGGAGGGTATTTATTGTTCCGCCCAGAAGACGAGGGAACAGTGTGGTATAAGCGTTACGGCAAAAGTGCATCTAGTTCTGGCTGAAATTTGTTTTTAATATGTTTTGACTATTTTCATTAGTTTTTTTTTTTATCTTTTACTCAAGAATAGCCATGTGATGCGACAGACGAGCTATGTCACCGACGGCCAATTCTGCAACGAGAGTAACATGTGTTAACGTAACAATCATGACTAAATTAAGACGGTCAGACGGATGGAGTGAAAAAAATTAATAACAGGTAGTATTGTAATTAATGAGCGACAATACGGAGAACACGTCAACAACACACGAAGGAAACCGATGACAGTTGATGTACACAAATCGCATTCATTCTACAGATATATCCGATAAATATTCGATCAAATAAATGGCATGCGTCGCGATAGGCGCCTATATGATAGATGAGCGCTTTTAAAAGGAACGGACGTATACAACAACTCAACGTTCTAACAAAGCGAAACGTACTATTTCTAACTTATTAAGAACTACTAAGTTCGCAACCTTTAACAGCCTTCGAACCATTAAGTTGCTGCCGGCAACTTACCGACGCGGTATAACAACAAGAACAATGTAGTTAACAATGTGATATACTCAATTTATTGTGTAACACATAACAGCCTATATCTTGTAAAAAAAAAAAACACCAATAATAACAGCATGGCGTTAGTGCTATCTACAGCTGAAAGTTTACTGCACATAATCATAATGCTATTTACTATACTACGTTTCACTTTATGTACACAGATGTGTTTAGTTTGCTTACAGATTTACTTATTGTTGGAAAGACGGCAGAATTCAGGGGCCTGATAAAACGGCGTGTGTCAAAACTTGATATTGTTAAGTTAAAGTGAGGATAACGATGGTGCCACAAAATTAGCAGCAGCGATGAGGCGATAACAACAAATAACAATAACTAATTAAAGAGAAAAAAACTAAGTAATGGAAATAAACGTTTGTAAAATGTAACAGGTAGATCTACTTGGTCTTGTGTACATACATTGGACGTGTTTAACATAGAGCCCTCTAATTCTCATTGCGCTACGAAGGTTCACATTTCCCGTGATTTGTTGCATCGCGATTTATCGCACCGTAGAGGATGTGGTGAGCTACTCCGTAAAGAACACAACACAGAGGTAGTTTTATGACAGAGTTAAAATTATACATTGTGCTAAACCAACTGAAATCGGATCGAAAAAACAAGTAGATTTTGCTAGGATTGCTAAAGTTGACTTCTTTTTGATATTGTATGTTGGCACAACACAGGGTTCGATGGTATACTTATTTGAGAATCTAGGGGATAAGGAAAATGTCAAATGTACCTTAGAAACTCCACAGCTAAAGTTCCAAGTTGCTAAGGGGCTCTTCGAAGACTTCAACTTATTATGCCGCCACAACGCGCCTGTTGTAAACAGTTACTTCGTCAGTTACGAAAAACATCAAAGCAGGTAGCACCGAAACGACGACCCCGAAAATGAGTCATCTCGTCGAATTTTACCCACAAGTTATTGTGACTAAGAATAACATAGGTTTCGTTCAAGACACACATCAGTGTAACATCATAATAACGATCAGTTTGATTCTCAGATGTTAGCTTGCGTCCGTCAAAACCTGTTATTACGAATCACACAGTTTTAGAATGACTGGGTCCTGTAAATATACATGCTATACTAGATATATACATCGTTCATAAGAACGTCGGCCGCGTTGTATTTACACCGTCCCAGTGCTGTCAGCTCAGTGCCGTGTACGCTACATACGTAAGCACCATGTAACTTATGGATTGCCAAATGCACCTAAATGTTTCGCCTCATTTAGAAAATGCCATCACCTTTTATAGCAAACCCCTTCTAACATATTGAAAAGAATGTCCTTAAGCATCATAACAGAAGGTTGAAATTAGTAGAACCATAACGTATTGCCGTTTGGAGGAAGCAGACCACCCTCAGCGACTATACGTAATCTACAGATTTTTAGATGAGCCTTCATCGTGTCCTTTCGACCATAACTTCTAGAGCAGAGAGGACAACGAAAAGGTTCTGCACGAGGATTGTGTAATCGAAGGTGCCGCCTAGCGTTTGAGGGTGAATTGAAACGCCTTTCGCAGTACGGACATCGAAATTGACCAGGTCCGTCTGATATAATGCCCAAGGCATCGGGACCAACAACGGCAGCAAGGACAACATCAGTTCCTGAAAGAATATTTTATCAGTGAGTGTACATTTTGCCGCTGCGTCATATTACTGAAATGAACTTCATATTTGGCACTGCACTCACAAGTTGTAGCAACCACAATCATAGTAGTAAGCACAATCGGTTATGTATAAAATCATCAAAATTCACTCTTCAAACACAGTTGTTTTAGCTTTAGGTCAAACCACGTCATGTCCGACAAGTTAGAGCAAATGACGATGATGTTCGAGCGCGGGCCTACGTAATCTGGAAACGAAACATCGCAACAAATACAGAGATCAGAAAGAAATCATCAAGCATTATTCACAAGAGCTTCTTACGGAAACGCATTTTCTTTACGTTGCAATATATCTAAGTGATCCGCAGCAGACCCTAGTGAAGCAAGCATAATCTAAGCCTAGTACGAATATCTTAGGAGTGTTTGAGTAAACTATATTAGTTAGGCAGAAAGGTTGGGAGAAATTCATTTAACAACTGCACCAGAGTGTATAAGGCGCAGCGATTGTCAAAATTCGGTGGTACAATCCAGTGAATCTGAAAAAAACGAGAGAAAGCCCTGCTTAGCAGTCTTGTGTATTGTTCATGTTTATGATGAGTCACGCACGGACGCTGCCGCCTAAAAAAACTCGTTTCAAATGAAGTTCTGATGAAGGAATCAGCATCTGAAAACGAGTTGAAAGAGAATACAGGTTTGTTTAAACGGTTCAGGGCAAAAGTTGACAAAGTCCTAAACATACGTAAATTTGGTATGTTTAGTTGCGAACGACATTCTGCGCTGCCTGCTTATAACAAATCACCTATCAGACTATATATTTGTCTAATTAATTATGGAGACGTGGCATATGTATCGCCTATTATAGCAAGTTTCAACGGTAGCAAACACGCAGCAAGACAAATGTGGAACAACGTCTCGTAAACTCGCTCTGTCTCTATAACACATGCTATTTATTCGAATAAGTTGAACTTGATTAAACTTTAAAATCAACCATTCTGTCTAGCGAAAATTTATTGAGCTTAAAATGGTCCTGAGTAATAATATGCATTGTGCGGTGATGAAAAAAGCTGACAAAGAGTGTCACGAATGAAGTACAATATATAGATATTAAAAATAAGTTGAATTAGGGCTTTAAAATTAAATTAAATTTTAATAGTATAAAATAACCGTTTGAACACAACGTCTGTCTGTGCCGTACGTTGGTGACAAAAGGATTCATGAGGTTTCCACGCGTTTAACGTTTGAGTCGACAATGGCCTTAACAATAAATCTAAAGCTAGATCGCAAGCATGGACCAGACTTGCAAACTACAAATTTAAATATGTTAGTTAGATTTCGGATAATTCTGATAGTTTTTTTTGAAAACACATAAAACTTTCTGCTTATAGACTAGTACTATTAGCCACTGTGGAAACGATGAAATGTACGCGTTCGAAATATTAATTAACTAGAAGATTACATAGCACTAGCACTAGCGAAGATTGGGTTGATACTAGAAGCAAGGGTCGGATCTTGGATTGAAAAAAGGCCAACAAAAATGGAAAAATCGATCATTCCAACTTTCGTAAAGATCTTGCTACGCTTCACAGTTCCCGCTATATCGCAACAGAATAAAAGTATTGAAGTTTATTTTTTGAGCATTTAAATATCTCTCAAAATACGTTCATGTTGAAAGGAAACAGATTTATAAAACGTCGGCATCAACTTGTCTCCTAAGTTTAACGCTCACGGTAAGCCGTGAAGGACAGCGTGAAATTGTTTAAGAACAGAAGAAGACTGACTGAAAAGTTTAAGAATCTCGTTGAAAAATATATAACCTAATAAACAACGACGAATTACAGATCCCGTTTTCGATTAGACCGTTATCGAAATGTCTACTCGCCAGTCTTTTGCTGGCTCATTGAAAATTTAAAGGCGATGAAATAATAAAAGGCGAACAGGATTTTTTTGCTTGACCCAATGTGCCCACGTGCGGGGCGGATGGTAATAAAAGATATGTTTAAAATCGCAAGTCTGACATCCAGTGAGTCAAAGCAATCCGGGTGGTATTTTAGACAAAGAAAAAAAAAAGCTTTTACAAGTTTGAGTTCGCAAACAGAAACAATTGTTGCTGGTGTATATTTTAGTCGTTGTCCTGACGAAACCTAACAAACTCGAAAGAACGACGTTTTGAAGGCACCATGCTCCCTTCAATGGGAAAAGAACACAATGCACTACGCTGGTTCTCAGGCGACGGCAGGTTGAAAAATTGCTAAACAATAAATGTACCTACTCCTATTTCCGATAACTATACAATTAATTCATTTATATTTTGCACTAAGATGCCAGATACAAGATGTTCTCTTGTTTCCAACGATTCCTCATATAAACAATACAAAGGAAGACATAACTTCTAACCGTAAAAGTTGATACGAAACGATATGGGACGTCGAAACGTTTTGCTGCAATATTTTACGGATTTACTAAAAGCGATTCCTGATCCTTAGAATCCATACGACTATGTCAACGCGTAATGGATACCGAAACAAAGCCTAGCTTCACACTGCTCTTTAGTCACCCAGTAAATATGGCGATGACTTCAAAATGGTAGCGTAATCGTTATCAGCAAATATCCTCGTGTCTAGATACGTATACGTGTAATTAAGGTTGCAAGTATTATATATTTAAAACGTTTCGAATCATTCCGCTTTTATTCAGGCGATCGCAATGACTGCGACCGCGCTAGTACCACTAGCTTCGAAAAGAACAGGCCGACTTTTGCAATCTCGAAATCTCCTGATCTGCGTCCTCCGGGATATGATAAAGGCATTCGGCTCCCGATGTGTTTTCAGCGTGGATTTGCTCGACTACTACATGAGAATACTGCATTAATGCGATGATATCACATCTATGCACACCCTAGTAGCAGTTCTGCTATTGCTATTTTACCTTAATGTTCTGATTCTTACTTTGTGCGTAGGAGCACAAAATCAATATTCTATCGAATAGGTGTGTTACGCAAGTGAACGGTGCCGTTGCTCGGCGAGCTCATAAAACTCGTTCTACATGTTCTATGGTGTAAAGGCAGGCACGCCGCGCCAACGTGAATATAGACGTGGCCAAATTGACATTTCAAGGTAGTGTCCTAGGCTACCCACAGTTACGGGAAACTAGTTTTGATTTGTCTACTTTAAATGGTCGTTAAAGAGATACCCTTTAGGATAACAACCCGGTTGAAACTGGCGGGCAAATAGACTATTAGCGTCGCCGTGTGGTAACTAACTAGTAGGAGACGCGCGTGGGAAACGCCGTGGACTTGAGTATAGCAGAAGCCGGTCGGTCTGCCCTTGAACGGATCAATGGCTGGCAAGAACTGAAACTCAAACTGTAAAGACACAGTCGGTGTAATTCGACTGACTGGGTTGTAGCCAAGAGAAAACCAACGGCGACGCCATTCCGTCACGAAGCTGAACCTCTCCTGTAGGATATCTGTTGGCTTGTCATAATGGCAGATTCAAGGTGTTCTTCAAAAGATCACATCCTCCAGGTTAGCACCTTAGATGAGATACTTGAAGCCTACAGCCTCAGCAAACAAGCAACGAACTGACATATATTATAAGGACAATCTATGTGAGAAGTCTTAACAAGACACTTCGCGATGCTGTCAAGTCAAAAATGACTCACTTAATTTTGGACCTCGGTCATGCTCCTCAATGAAACGGTTTTCGATCAATCGCGGAACAGATATTGGGTCGGTAAATGGCTAATGGTAGATAGACTGTGCGAGCTTACTTTAAAGCGTGAGTTGCATTAGAACGTCCACTTTTGCATGGTAAATTGGAGGGTAAAGATCTACGACGAGGTGTTGCGATTTTACATATTTATTTCCCTCGAGAAACGCACTCAGTGAATTGCGGCTAAACACAATTCGCCCCCATGTCCATATGAATGATCAACAAACTTGAACTTCACAGGCTGACTGATAACTTGGGGCTTAAAGGTGTTTAGTTTTGCGCGACAGTTTTTAGGTGCTTTCTCAGTAGTGAAGCCTTCCTGATAGTCTTGAAAGAGGCAGGTTGTCCAAGATGCGTTTTGCGACTTTAGCAACAGAGAGCCATCGAGGCGGGCTAAAATGCTTTTCTTTGGAAAGAAAGGTGGAACTAACACAGTAACTCAGAATTATTGTAAAAGTAAAGACATGCGCAAGATAACTTCCTATTTCCAGAATTGTTCGTCGATGCCGCAATGAAATGAAGATTTGCCCTATTTTGTACTAGCAAAAAAAGCGGCCGGCAATGTATTGTGATCTAAACTTTCCGATTCTGACATCGGAAACGTATAACATAAATCAGCAGTGCCAGCCTCCAAGCCTAGATTAGGAAACGTGTCGCGTATTGCAGCCTTGTGAGCTAGAGTATCACCAATGTGCTTGTATCTGTGTTTAATTCAAAGTAGCTGAACTGTGTGTGCTCGTTATGAGGAAGTCAGCATAAAAGTACGATATGCTGACGTAAGCTGCGGTTTTCAATCAGAATTTAAGAAATAAGTTTAGATTTCTAGTTGAACTATAATCTACCGAATATATATATATAGATATATATATGTAAATCCGTATTTTTCGAGTACGGATTATGCATTGAATAAAAGTACGGACAACTTTCCACCTTGCGTCGTTTACGCCAGAGTCATAGGCAGGCTTCGTTCGCTTTTGTTTATTCGGCAATGACCAATAGCCGTTCCACTGTGTGTCTCCCCAAAATTTACCCCTTAAAATAAATAATAGAATTCCCGTGTACTGATAAACAGAACCTTGAAGCGTGTAGCTTTGATGTAACGGTTATGTACGACCGCCGATAAGCACGACTTGGACAGCTTTTTGCTTTAGCTCGAAGTTCATTTGTTGGTTGCAGAATGGCAATTCGCGGTTGCCAGAAGTAGACTCATTGAACATCTTATACCTACTTGGTCGTCTCTAGTCTTAAAAGGGATTCTTCGGCTTCAGTTAGCGCATCAACTGGCAAAGCTTCGTAGGCAACCGTTAGCGCCTGAGTTGCTCGAGGAATCAAGTCTGCGCTGCACTGCCAGTATGATAAACAAACAGAGTAATGCTGCTCTGGGGAACTGCGCTAACAGCAGAAACCGAGCGACACACTAACCGACGGGTCGGGAGACGGACATAGAAACGCGAATTCCAAGAGTAGCGTCGATTTTTTGACTCGTCGTTTTCGGAGCTACTTGTCCTGGCTCTGCTCGTCCTGCCTCATTACTCAGCCTAACGTTGCAGGCTCGACTGCGCCAGATCCAGGCGTCTAGCCGGTGCCAACAGCGATGGACTACTATGACGCGGTGCTGTTGGCAAATAGAACAAGAAGCATCGATAATGAGGAGCAAGTTCGACGGAGGAACCCTAAAAGCTGGCCACAAACAACCCGTTGAGTAAAATAAGTATAAATCTACTAGCTTAATTCTAGCGGCAACTGGCAAACCTAGTCGTCATATGCCAACGGCATCTGTTCTCTCACCTTTCCGTGAGCAGGCCGTTCCGTGAATAGTTTTTTAATAGGGGCCATCTGAGAATATGAGCTGATATCTGTATATGTCCCTAATACTTACAAAAATATTCCGCTCTATGCAGATATTTACGCTTGAAGTTGGAAGTCAAACCTTCACCTAACATGTGGCCGTTGCGCCGTCATCGATGAGCACTGTCCACTTCCTACGTATTTATAATGTTTCATTAGATTAAGTAATTTCATAGCAATAATTGATTGCCAGACGAGGCGCGTTCATGTGAAAATTGAAACGATGAATGTGATAAACATGAAAACAGAATTCCGACGGTAAATCATAACTGTTGCAGCAGGACAGCTTTCTATACGTAAACGTAGCGAACATTGACCATACTAAGAAGATTTCATTCGTCCGCAATGATCCTATTGCGGACGGGATCCCAAGCAGAGCGGGATTCATATAGTAAGGTCTCATGACAATTGCAACCTTGGATGCCCTGAAAAGTGTTGGTCTATAGTCAGGCAAAAGTTTATCACGAGAGATGGATCTAATATGAATGGAACGATTCGCCTGGAAACCGGATTGTACGTATATTCCAATTCGAGAACGTGATAGGACGAGTGTAACCAATAATAAAGCCGGCACGGGCCAAAGCTTATGGATCACTCGCGAATTAGTCACCCAAGGACGACTAAGGGAAGAAGGGCTAATTGCAATCAAGTGGATGGACTACAGGGACACTTCGATGGGAAAACGCGATGATACGATTAGAGCATCAAGGTTAGTCCAGCCAATTACCGGATCAGCGATGGTAAGATAACGGCTTCAAAGTAAAAAATAGGGGTAACTACGATAAGATAAAACAGTTCGCGCCACCGGATGGCTCTTCTGTTAGGATCTGGAACGAAAACATGCTCTACTTCACTCGAGGCATACTGATGAGATAATCGCAGCAGGACTGTTAAAACATATCGATGGGACGAACGTAGCAGAGTATCTATAATAGATTATGGGGGTGAGATCAGTCAGTGCAACTGGGGACCACAAAACAAAATTATTATAACTAAATAATTGCGTCTGTTTCAATCAATGAAGTTCGTTAATGTTTGAACAGGCTGACAGTCTGATAGGCCAACGCGGTGAGCGGAGCTATGGAACTGTTGCACTGCAACTTGGGCTGAGCGAAAAAAATAAGCGAATTAGATTAGCCCAAGGAGAGGAAAAATGGGCGGGGGCGAAGACGATTATTCTTTATTACAATGTGCGCACTAATTTGTTAAGCCTGATAGCGCCAAATAGAGCAGTATAATTCCGCTCCCCAACCCGTTACAAACGAAGTTGTTTGTAGTTAGCCGTACGTATGCATCATTTCTTTTACCGGCAATATAGACGTACGTATATATATATATATATATACATGTCAAGATTCGATTGGCAGCAGTCTGTTTTCTTACAGCTTTTTCCATCGATAACCTGATTAATGCCAATTGATTTTAACGTTACTGTACTGCTCTCGGCTACATTATCTCTTGCTGCTATCGGTGATAGAAGGCCCTGGCGTTCTCGGCAACAGCTCATTGACAACAATAATAGAGCTTGTTGTCGCATTTGCTCGCGCCGCCAAATTCAAACTTATATGTGCCTAAAAACAACCCGCATATCGATGGAGGAGATCGTAATCCACAACATTATACTCGTTCGCGTCAGCTAGTCGGGCGTCGTTGTTGTGAATGCCATTTTCTGTTCGTTCGGCAATAGCTTCCGGCGCTAGCAGTTCACCCAGCCGACCTCCGGCTGCGCAGCTGTGCATACTTACATAGAGTCCGGGAGAAAAAGGCCGAAAATCGCTGGATTAAGTTGAACTGAACAGCAATGAGAGCAGTTGCAGTTGAGCTGGCTGGATACAGGCTAGACCAAAACAAGCTGGAGATATAATCTCTCAATTACTCACCCTCTCCTGCTATTTAGCAGCAACAACGGCAGCTTTTTAGGATTGAACGGCCCGGGCGAGACCAACCTTCACATACCCACATTTGCCTAGCAGGCCCTATAGCTATTTCGTTTGCAGTACGTTATCCAGAAACATAGGAGGCAACTGAGGAGGGTGGGTTAGAATGGACACTTGATTCGAGTTCGGATGTCCTCGCCGGATAGCAGCGGCATTGACTGACAAGGGCTACTTCCAATGACGCCGCTAGATAAAAGCTGGGTCTAATACAATAGTCGCTGCTGGGTTGAGAGCACCGGTCGAGCGCGTACGAACAATCCAGACATACAGAATCGACTTGAATCGTCTATCAAATGGCCAACGACATATAGCGTCGATGATGGTCAAACATTTGCTTCCGCTTCTGTTTGTTGGCTTATATTGATGTTACGCGGCCACTATACATGTGGTAGTCGGTATAGCACCAGCAATTGGCGAAATTTGGCAATCCGTCTGAACAACATCGGCATGATTGTTCTGGGACTAGCACTCCTCTGGCGACTGGATAGCGATGACCGTGTGTTTTCATAGATTTTAAAATACATTGAACACGTAGTAAGTTATAAGCAAGAGTCATGAGCAATCTAGATTAGTTGGCCTAGCGAATTTTTTCTCGTTTTTCCATCCATGTCAACGCTTCCAGTAATAAAATGCAGCCCTCTTCTGACCAGTGCTACGGCAAGAAGAAAACGTTGTTAAGCTTTTCAGGTCAAGTCGGAAGAAATGCTTCGAATCGGCTCGAGCGGTCTGGCTTATTACGGAACTTTTGCTTAACCTTTTCGTGTTGCACTGTCACACTGTGACGACCTGAGTCCCATTGCAAGGTACTCGAAAATGGTACGGCAATAGACAAAAAAAAAAGTGGACACTGACTATTTTGAAGTATCGAGCTGGACGCCTCGGAAGATCACATAGCAATTTTTATTCTGGTCGACTACTTCATATCTAAGCATATATTGCTTAAGATAGGGTCTTTCTTTTGGTGGTGGGTCAGGAGGTGTTACGAAGGTAATAATAAGGCAACACCCATTCAAAAGCAAAATCAAGTATCTGATATCAGACTGTTTTAATTATAGTCCTGACTTGAGCAGCTGTAAGCCAATATGTTAAATAACTAGAAAATAACATGCCATAATGAAGCCGACGAATAAAAATCTAGTTAGGATCAGGTTTATGAATCGCTTACCTCATCGTAGGCTTTTTAAACTGTTGCTATCTTCCATTTTACTGCACATAATGGGCCTCCACTATACGTTACAAGGTGATTGGTGATCCGATATCCCAAATTGAGGTGCACTATTCTAGAAGACTAACTAGCACATCTGGTTATTCACGAAACGTTTGCACAAGTAGTTGACGAGCACGTACACACAGAAACGGGTAAACGTAAATATTAACGAGCGGACAGTTTACCACTAGAACTCTGCTAGATGAAATTGCCATTACCAATTTTGACGTCTGTCCTGATAAATGCATTGCCGGTTTTGCTTAAACCCTACAAGACCTTGTAACTATACTTCACTGCTATGAGCCACTTCTAACCGACAATTTTGCTCGTAAGCAATGGCTCTATGCTGCGCTCCCTCTAACGGAACATATTCGACCTTAAACCTTAAGGCTTCATACAGAAGCACTCCGCTTCGCGCAAGTTGAGTGTGTTGATTCTGCTGTCCTCCCGTGTGTGCATCTCCTCGCAAATGCACGGAGCGTGAGTAAGTGGCAACCAATAAAACCAAATCGTCGTTGTCGCTTCCCTCGGTATCCTGCTGATGGGTCTGTGGCCCGGACTTCTTAGCCAGGCTTAGCATCTCTCCCAGCTCTACCAGCGACTTACCAGCCGCTTACAACCGAATGCAACGTTCAATTCACTCTCTGCTTTCGAAGAGCATCTCATGAGCCAGCTTGCGTCGTAGTTCGTCCTATCGAACTTTCACAACCCCGAGGCTCGGCAGTTACTCGGCGCAGCGACGCTGGTTTGGACACCGATTCAGCCCTATTGTACATGGATGCGAGGTTTACTAACGGAGAAGCAACTCTGACCGTCGAGAACAGCTCTGAGGGGGATCGGCTCCGACCACTGACTGGTTGGCGGCCAACGGGACAGTTAGCCAGTCGACCCGACCCCCGGCTCGACCCCATCCCATGCCGAACTACTGCAAATTCGTGCGATCCGCTACAAAGTCGCCGATTCAGTCGTCGTGTTCATAGATTTGGTAGTAGGATAGGAGAGGGCCCTGCCAGAGCTCTCTCCCCGGCTCCCCTGGTGCTGGCTACGATTACCTTCACAACGATCCGCCAACCGGTCGGGTCTCTCGTCTACCGATCGAGCGGTAGTAGAAGCGGCGGGGAGCAGCCGCGACTAGCCCAAATAGTCAGGGACTCGATTCTGCAAGCTTCCGAGTGTCGACGAGTGACGGCCTGGTTGTCTGACACGAATGAGCCTCCTCAACCGAGGCGCTAGGCTGCGCCGCCACGGGGAGCCGCGTCGCAGCTAGCTAGCGCAGCGTCGGCAGAGAAGAGACGAGGACCCCAGTTCGCGAGGCGACTCGGGTTGGCCTCGCCATCAACGTTAGGGGTAGGGGAGAACCGTTACGATCCAGATCCGAACCGTAGTATAGTGACTGGTCGCCTTGGCTATACTCAGCTCCCCCAAAGTCAGTTGTCGCGCGCCTAAAGTGGACAGCCAGCCAGAGTAAACTGCTCATCGAATGAGGGAGGCCAGACAAAGCCAGCTGCAGTTGTCGTAGGAGGCGGTTGATGCTGCAGGCGACCAAGGCTAATAGACCATAGTGGGAGCCAGACGAGATAGTGGAGTTTGTGGGGGAGGAGACAAGCTGCGATATTGACGACGCTGGTTTGGGTAGTTCGGCTGCGATTCAGACGATGTACAAGTAGTCGCGCTAGCTTAACGGTCTCTGTAGCATCGGTGGGTACTACAGTGCAGGTCTAGGGCACGGCCATTATCGAAAGATCCGACAATATTCGGAGGTGGCTGTCGGTGGAGGTTCTTTACGCGTAATATTTAGGACAAACAACGCAATTTTAGACGTACTCATAGGTTGTAACCAGGTAAAGTTTGCGTCTAAACTCACCTATCTGGCTTTTTGATGTCAAAGTATTTTGCGTTACACGGCTGAGATAAACTGGGACGAAGCCCAGAGGACGCCAATTCCGTTATTTGAGAACGAGGAAAATGGCATAGTACAGACGGCAGTGCGCAACCATTACGTGTTCACTCACTTCTTACTTTTTATCTAGAAAGACCAACGATCACTGGGACGGCGACTGCGTAACAACAATAACAACGTGACAAACACAGCAGCAGGAATAACAGCAATTACGTTGACGGGGGCGGTCTGCGGGTCGGTCGGTTCCGTTGATTGCGTTATGGTCCATAATCGCTATAGCTATGGCGAAGGGACTATTCAACCAGCACCGAACATCTGATGACATCAGGGATGCTGCTGTACAACGTATGCGTCCACTGTGATCCAATACCTCGATCCGGCGTCAGTTGAATCGGTCGGATCCGTTAGGTAGCGGTTGAGATGTCAGCAACACTGGTGGTAGCAATAAATGACGACAATGAAAGAGGAGCTCTCCATTTTTCGAGCAATAGCTAACCCGACCCGAAAGCGGGCGACCTCGACAACTGGCGCCGACGGCTGTTGGCATCCATTCGTTGAAGCAAGCAAACCGAGCAGCAACAAGTAACGACACACACCAAAGGGCTGGCCATTCGGCAGACCGGTAGACACAGAGACAGATAGAGTCTTTACCGGCTGCCGCTGAGGCCGACAAAACGGTAACTGGCGTTCAGAGAAAAAGAGCTGCTGACGAAACGAACTCTGCTCCGAACGGTGACCGATTGAGCGACGGCGGGGACCGTCCGGCCGCGGACCAGGCGATCGGAGCCGTCGGGGGGCGGGGGGGAGGGAGGCTACGCCATATCGCAGCTGGAGTAGTATTAGTTGTGTAAAGGAGACAGCGTACCATCAATGTTCTGATCTGATGCCTCTCAGTCCTCGAGTCCAAGCAAATCGACGGTATTGCTCTCATGTCTGTGTCTCTGGTGATCGACTGAGGTGACGATACAGTACGTTTCTGTAGCTCAGACAAGCCATTAGCTAGAGGGTAATATCACTAGTGGCATATACGAACAATTCAAGCTCTGAACCGGTAGAGGGGACACCGGAATGGATACGGATCGATCGGTAAGATGTAGGGACGCCAATTATTTATTATTATAAAGCTGGCAGGTACGAAAGTTCAGTAAGTTGGTGTATCGGATTGTAGATTCGACTGGTATCGAACAAACGTAAATTCTAAAGAGGGCGTTCATGACAGCTGTTGCTGTTCTAGCC